TGGAAATGGATAGCAGTGGAAGAGTAATGGATGAGTCAATGCAAAGAATGCAAAGAATCACAAATACTCCACCATCATCTGCAGGGAAATCGTCGTTGCTAATGAAATTACTGAGGTAAATCCAAGTTTCCGGAAATTTCGAAAACAATTTCGCTTCACTTTGTTTCCGAAAGTCTTCTCGCTTTAGAGAGAAACCTACCGGAATGATAAAATAAAATAAAAGCCGGAATGATGAAATAAAGCAGAAATATAAATTGCGCCACAATTAACCGTTGATATCCACTACCGCCAAAACGGTATCCATCTCTTCATATGCCAAATTCATTAACAAAAGGTTTCGTTGGCAGAAAGTTAGCGAATTGGATTTAGAGGCAACAGCGAACAAACGATACATTGTTGTAGGAAAGATACACCTTCGGAAATAGGATGCAGTTTTCATCGGTTTTTTGAGCATTTCTTGAAAACAAATTCGGAATGATTTTTGCTTCTAATCACTTGATGCACATATCCAAAATCATTCCGATGCACCCAAAGAATTAGTCATCATCCTGTATTATCATGATAAGATGATAACCTGATAATCATTCTATGTAAACAAACCTTTATTTATTATGAACATGAAGGAGTGGAAGTCTTTACGAACCTTATTGATACCAAGCAAATGCTCAACTTCCCACTGATCGCTTGCTTCGCTGCTATTGTTCTGTGGATTTGGCAATTCTTGTAGCAGCAATGTTGTGATGGATTTCGGTTCGGTTTGCATTTGTTCCTGCAAGCTTACATACTGATTACGAAAATTCATAGCATTTTTCACGCTGACAACTTATTAATATATTTATCAACGACCAGGTGATTTGTTACGTAAATCCAATCACACTCCCTCAGCTAACCTATTCATACCTCATTTCTCCGGCTTTATCTATACTAATTAATGTTAATCAACGATGTCGTAGCTAATGGAATGCCACGCTGATACATTTTCAAAAATGCAATTTTTTTTCGCATTCGGACGATGTAAACATCCCAAAGAGTTTCTAAACGTGCTTCATCATTTACAATATTTAGAGCCAAATTATCCAGTTTTCACAAAACACGCAATTTGCGGTATATTGCAGGATGTGTCGAAAAAAGATCAGAGTATTGAAGTTACCGCATTTGCAATCATCCAGCTAGCTGACCAAGCAAGCAACACTGTTTACCAATCGCGTTGATTCTTGGACACTTGGACATATTTGGCTATTGGCTTCAACAATTAAATATGCTGACTCTAAATGGATTTATAGATAGGGGATGGGATGTTCAATACAAATATGTCTTGTTCATTGATATAAGCAGCAATAATCTAAGAAGTTGATAGCATTTTCGCAGAATAAAATAGGAGGGAAGAATAGAATCATGAGAGGGATATGCGGCTTAGTGTCGTGTCGGATGGGAAGTGAGGGCGCTGCAGATGGCGGGAATTGAATTTTCTCCAAATGCCTTCTCTCAATTTACTAGTCATAATTCAATTTCTTCCAAATAGCTATTTTTAATTTACTTTTACTTCACTCTTATCTATGCTACTTCTCTCCTACTTTTCCTTGTTTCTCTGTTTCAGCTTTATCAAAATTGTAATCAACAATTTCCAATCTATCTTTTGTCATTATACATATGTGAAATGATAATAGGAAAGATTATAATTGCAATGCACAGATTTCAGCGATTGTGCCTAGCGCTCTTGCTATTTGTTTGAAGCATATTTCAAAAGTGCATTCCACAAAGAGTCTTATCATCTGAATATGATAAACTCGTTTAGAAGTACAAATCAGAAGATCGACTTCACTGCATAAAAAGGACAACGCAACATAACGTATGGGTTTCGTTTCTTTTCACTATATTATTATATAGTTTTCCTTAAAAAGGATTTCCATAAGAATGATGTTGTTTTGAAGACGTGACTGGAAGATTTTTGGCTCTGACATAAGTATTTTGAAGCTATTAATAGAAAGCGAAGAAACTAAATGAGATACAAATAATGTTGCAGTTGGAACGATCGAATTGAATCAATCAGACAACTTAGAGATTACTTTGCTCCAATCTTTGAGAAACATTTCCACCTATTTCTGGATCAATAGAAAGATGAAAGTGGATGGATATTCATAAGCTTTTGAATTTTGATAGCGCTTAAATTTGGTTTATATCTGACTGAAGTACATAAAGCTGGTTAAATTTACCTAATAATTTCAATGTTACGTTCTGATTCCACCACAGAAATCATCCCTACGACAACAAAATCAATGCGTTTATCATCCGAAGAAACTAAAGATGCTGACCGGAATAGAAATGAAATTCAATGATACTTCTCATTATTTTATATTTAAGTTCAGGAAATGATACCTTTCTTGCACTTTTCTGCTATCAAAGCTTGAATGATATGATTGATGTAGGTTGGAAAGTGATCATTACCAACTAGTCGAAAGTTGCAAAGCAACTGGTAATGGTTTCAGGAAATAAAAGAAGGAGGCATTTCTATTTGCAACATTCTTTCTAAACGTTCCAAACAAGTTCTCTCTGTTTCCGTGAACTGAAGTTATATATATCGGTATGTATATCCGCTATGTATCACGTTCTCACCGTATTATATCCAAATCACCGTATTTCTATGTATTTCTCTTTCTCATTTTTTTGAAAATTGCAATGCGTTTTATAAGTAATGGCAATAAACTTCATGAAATAAAAGGCTTCACAGAAACTTCGCGCACTCTTGTAATAATTAATATCAGAGCTACGAGAATGAGTACAATAATAAGTGTTCTTAGCCATAATCAAAAACGAGTGACATGAAGTCCTCAAGGCCAATTCTTTTTTTTTTTTGCAAGTGAGTAAATCACGATATTCTAAATAGTTTTCATGCTATTTCGACCATTTGCAACAACCATCCAAGCTTAGGTTTTGATGATTATTAAGGGTGTTGATGATGAGACAATTGACATTCCACTCAAAGATGTCTTTTCATTTCTCTTTTCCAAAGTGAAGAAAATTTGTTCAGATAAAAGGCTTTAAAGTGAAGAAAATTTGTTCAGATAAATCGAGTTTAGCGTTACTTGACAAATGTTGACAAGCATTATTTGACATCGTTGGATGACAATATTCATAATAGACCTCCCGTAATTACCTACAATCAATATGTAAATGGATTACATCAAAACTGCTTCAGTTTATTTATTAATTATTTTGCTAAAATAAAGTATCATTTTAGGTAGTTTGCTGTAAAGCTTTCTTTCTTCCTTCAATTGACTAATGCCTTCTATTTCACAAATGATACAAAAGCGTCATTCTGCAAGGATTACAGTTGTTTTCACATATTCATAGTCTATTGCTGGAAGCAGCATTCCATTATAAGCAGTTTAATTACAGTATCACGGATCTGGTTCTTGCTAAGCTAACATCGTTGGTGGCATTGCTATATACGTAATCGTCATTCTTTCCTTTATCTGTTGCTGCAATAGAATTGTTACTACGCGATCGTTTGCATCTTACTGGCTAATAAGCAATATCATATAACAATGTTTAATCCATTATTGATATGGTAAGTGAAATATCTGTGCATTGTAGAAGTTGAATTGGATTCGAATAAATGATAGATAATCCAATTTCTAGAATCTTTGATGAATATTACAATTTTTATGAACATAAAGGATATTAATGATAAGCTAAAAGATGACAAAATAGCGTAAAGAGCCGGAAGAATGATTCATATCAGTTTTATGCATTTCTATCAAATTAACTTCCATTCCATAATGTCCGCGAGACTTTTGGCTTTTTGAAGCTTCTTCTTCTTCTTAACAATTTGCGCGTTATACTAATGACAGACTGTGGTGGATTAATACTTTCAGGATCTTGTGTCTCTCATCGGTCAACATAGCAGTAGTAAGTAAATTAGTTGGATTTACCTCAAAAATTCTCCAACAAGGTTGGATTTTCTTTTACATTTTATAGCATCCTTACAGTAACTAAATATTAAAATTGTGCATATGTTGCAACAATACTGCATGTGTTTGCCTGTTTTATATATTAGTATTGATATTACCTGATGCCACGATATTCCGGCAGATCCGTTTTATCGGTATAGATGGCAGTAATAGCATTATGGAAGTGTACTCAATAGTTGTATGAGAAAACTTCCATGGAGGATTAATGGGAAGTAAAAATAAATAAAATCAGTATTTGAATACAGATGATCCGGAACCCTCACCAGGCGATAACATTCGGATTTATTCGATGCGATTTTGTCCATATTGCGACAGAGTTATCATCGCTGCGTATAAAAAAGGCCTCCAGTTAGTCTCTTGAAATTTAAGTATATGGAATGAATTTATCAATATTGTTTATAAGCTACAACTTACAATTTATTGTTACATTTGTTTCAGATTTGAAGTTTTGAATATTAACCTTCAAAATAAACCCGGCTGGTTCCTTTCGAAGCATCCTGAAGGAACTGTACCAGTTCTAGAACATGATGGCAAGGCTCGTTGTGTAGCTGGATATTTATATCAAAAAAGATAGCAAAAACCCATCATCCACTTCATTTCTTGGCCAATAAAAGACATTATTAACTTATTTTTAGTACATAATTTGTACTTTTCGGCTATACTTTTTAAAGACAAAGCCAAAAGCATACTGCAATCAGAATTAAGTGGGACTTATTGGCCACTTTTATGACTTTTATAAAAGTTACAAATATGAAAAATTGCAGCTGGTGTCTGACTCCCGAGTGATTATAGAATATTTGGATGATGCATTTCCTGAAACAAGCATTTTACCCAAAGAACCGTATCTGAGAGCAAAGCAACGATATTATGCAATTAAACTAGAATCGGTACACTGATTAATTTCTACAACTCCACCCACCTATCCGTATTCTTAATAATAGTGATTTATTGCAGGTTTGTAATACAATACATAAAGTATCATATTTGACAAAGCTATCCGGCAATATCACCATTCTTGCAATTGAACTTGCCAAGGCAGAAGAACTACTACAATCCCCTTTTTATTCAGGTCCCACTTCTTCCCTACTTTCTTCTTTTGTCCCACTTACTACAAACTACTTCTAGTCCCTTTTTTGTTGGTCTTTTTAATACTTTTATTCGAATTTCATTCCACTTCTCCTTGTTATTTCTAAACTAAATCTACTTTAATAATGTAGACACAGCAGTCGGTTTACCAGACATCATGCTATATCCATTCATCCAACGATTGCACGTCATCCGACAATTTGTTAAAGACAACTTTCTCGATGATTATTTCCCGAATAACTTCCCAAAACTTGTAAAGTGGTTCGTCAAGATGCGAACTATGCCTGAGGTAACCGTTAATTACTAGCTATAGAACGAAGTAACAATTTACAAGAGCTGAAAAGCTTGGAGTAACGGAATGCGCAGAGTAAAATTGACCCTCAGTATCCCTTAATAATTTTAAAAGCTTCAACTTGTTAACACAATTTCTTGAATTTTCCCAAAATTCTCAAAAATCAAACTTGGCAATGGCATGATTATCTTTCGTTTCAGATCCAAATAGTTCGAGAATCGGAACGCCACTTAAAGGCTTTCCTGATCAGCAAAGCAAAACAAAATGCTACTGATTTCGACGTCGATCTCTCCCACCCTAATACACCAATTAACTGGAAATTTTTCAACAATTCAACCATTCAATGAGAATAATTCAACCAACACATCAAATGAAGAAAATTGAGAAAAAGAAGGACAGCTTACATCTACCGTTACTAATAATTACTTGTTCTAAGAATTGTAAACGAATCTTACTTTTAATTAATGAACCGAACCTTACTTTCAATTAATTTTAATCCAGTTAATTTATAAACAGTATCATTCCGGATGGGGAAGCTAACTATTCCCATTTCAATCTTTACTTCTCAATTTTTAATGTACGAAATCTTTGGTATATTCATTGAACACTTATTTACATCATTAATTAAAATCATAAATAATAAATACATGGCATCAAACTTCCCATCAAAATCTCCTGCATTTATTTTGCTTTGCCCACAACGAACATACCTGACACGGCCACTGTTGATCATCATTGGAATTGAAGAACTTTCAAATTTGAAAGCAAAACAAAGATCCGAAAATATATTCTATTCTTCACCTTCTTAGGGATGAACACAAAAGTAAAGGATTAAAGGAGTACATGATCGCACAATCCAAAAGAGTGAGAAGGCTGTTATTACTATTCTTCCGGAACCACAAAAATAAACAATTAATATCTCATGAAAAAAAAAAGAAAAAAACCTCACGTTAAAATGTACTCAACCTAAGATCTGTTTCAACATGACAGCAAATAAACAAAAATGTTTGGAAAGATACAGAAAACCTGAGCAGAATCCTGGCTATACTCGAGGTCAAATCAGCTACAAACCTTAATGGTCACGATTTCTCTGGATGACAAATTGACTGGGAGATTTAATTCAGAAATAAACAATCGATTTTCGAAATAATATTTGTATTTGAATTCATTTCTTCGCGAAGTATGGCGAAGTATGAAACACGAATGAATAAATCGTCAAATTATCTACAACATATTCTGGGATCAGAAAGATACATTGAAAAATATATCGGCACTTGCACTCTGAATGCCATCCGCTCAAAAGTCTCTGAGACATCCCAAATCTATCGACCCGATCTTTCTGCCTTGTTCTCAACATATCTGGAAACCTAGGCAATAACACCGAACTATGTGGAGGTAAAAGAAGGAGAGAAAGTATAAGGACATAGT